GCTTTGGTGCAGAGCCAGCTCAGGTTCAACAGGGTTCCGGAGACGGTTCCGGGAAGGTGTGGGAGGCTTTGGTGCAGAGCCAGGTCAAGTTCAACAAGGTTCCGGAGAAGGTCTGGAACCCTGTTGAACCTGAGCTGGCTCTCCACCAAACTTTCCCAGACTTCTCAAGAACGCTGTTGAACTTTACTGGGCTCTGCACGAAAACCTCCCAGACCTTTTAGGCCGGCCCTTGCAGAGCCAGATTCAACAGGTTCCGGGAGGCTTTGGTGCAGAGTCAGGTCGCAGGTTCAACAGGGTTTCGGAGAAGATTCTGGTGCATAGCCAGGTCAGGTTCAACACAGGGTTCCCAGAAAAGGTTCCGGAGAAGGTGTGGGAGGCTTTGGTGCAGAGCCAGGTCAGGTTCAACAGGGTTCCGGAGAAGGTTTCGGAAAAGGTTCCAGGAAGCCTTGGTGCAAAGGCAAGTCAGGTTCAACGGGTTCATGAGAAATTTGCAGAGAAGGTCTTGGAGAAGGTTTTGGGAATCTTTGGTCCAGGGCCAGGTCAGGTTCAATAGATTCAAAAGTGTTTCCAGCACTTGGCTCCGGAACACATTTTAGAAAGATTTGTAAAAATTAGACATTGCCGCTGTTGGGGATATTTCCGAAGCTTATTCCCCAACAGCGTAAGCTAATGGGGTCTTCAGCCCAGAATAGCATCGGTGTGCACTGGTGCAGGCGCCGGGTCAAGTTCAACCAGGTTCCGGCTGGGAGGCCTTGGTGCAGAGCCAGGTCAGGTTCAACAGGGTTCTGGAGAAGGTTCCGGGAGGCTTTGCTGCAGAGCCAGGTCAGGTTCAACAGGGTTCGTGAGAAGGTTCTGGAGAAGGTTCCGGGAGGCTTTGGTGCAGAGCCAGGTCAGGTTCAACAGGGTTCCGGAGAAGGTTCCGGTCAAAGGTCTGGGAGGCTTTGGTGCAGAGCCAGGTCATGTTCAACAGGGTTCCGAAGAAGGTTCCGGGAGGCTTTGGTACAGAGGCAGGTCAGGTTCAACAGGGTTCCTCCGGAGCAGGTCCCAGAGAAGGTTTTGGGAATCTTTGGTGCAGGGCCATGTCAGGTTCAACAGTTCAACAGGGTTTCCAGCGCTTGGATTTGTAAAAATGAAACGTTGCGGCTGTTGGGGATTCCACCTAAGCTTATTTTTTATGTTTTGTTTTGGTAAGAAACCATGGTTCCCCAACAGCAAAACTTTGCTATGGGGTCTGTAGCCCAGATTAGCTCCGGTGCGATCCGGTGCAGCTTCAACACCAGGTCGCGGACAAGGTTCCGGAGGGTTCTGGTGCAGATACCTCGTGAGGTTCCGGAGGGTTCCGGTGAAGATACCTGATGAGGTTCCGGAGGGTCTAGGTTGTGGTGAGGTTCCGGAAGTTTCCGGTGCAGGTACTCGGTGAGGTTCCGGAGGGTCTAGGTGTAGATACTTGGTTAGGTTCTAGAGGGTTTTGGTGCAGGTACCTGGTGAGGTTCCGGAAGTTTCCAGTGCAGCTACCTGATGAGGTTCCGGAGGGTCTAGGGAGGGCCGGTATGGTCTAGTGGATAAGACGCATCCCTCATGCGTCAGACCCGGGTTCAATACTCAGGTGCAACACTAGGCGGACAGGCGGGCCACTACCCCACCCCTGCAGTTAAGGGGATGAGCTAGGGTGTGGTCCGTAAACACCTCTCTCTCCGGAGGGTCTAGGTGAAGATGCATGGTGAGGTTCCGGCGGGCTTTGTGAGGTTTCGGAAGGTTCCGGTGCAGAGACTTTGTGAGGTTCCGGAGGGTTTTGGCGGAGAATATGCTTGGTGAGGTTCCGGAGGGTTCCGGTGCAGATACCTTGTGAGGTTCCGGAGGGTTCTGCAGATGCTTTGTGAAATTCCAAAGGGTTCCGATGTTTTTTATGGCATAAGCACTTTTTATGGCAAAAACGCAGAAGCTTTCAAGCTGTTGGGGATATTATCCTAATTCGTGATGCCAAAATGGTTTTGCATCATGACGCATATTTGCAGCTTTGACCAACATTTTTGACACTGACACCCCCAAAGGCCACGCTTTGGGGATATTGGTCACCATTTCGAGTTTTGGAACATCAAAGTTTTTGCATAGATCATTCTGAGCTTTGGACTTTAGAAACGAGACTTGTTCTTGTTGTTGTTGTTGTTGTTGTCTGTACAAGGTATCTTAATCCTCGTTGAGGAAGGCGAAGCACTCTGTGACATCTTAGATTGTTTAATAAGATGGGTTTGGTTCGGAAATTTCTTCCACGGACTATATTTTCTATGACATCATACCAGTAGTACCGCACAAGGCGGTGGCGGAAGTTTCAAAAATAGGAAACCTATAGGAGAGGTTGGTTGTTGTGAATCACGGATGGCAGAGCGAAGCCACTGATGGATCGAAAGGTGATTGATGTCTCCTCTCTTTATCTCTCTTTTTCTCTCTTTCTCTGATTATCTACCTACCTAGCTAGCTAGCTATCTATCTATCTATCTATCCATCTACCTATCTATCTAGCTAGCTAGCTATCTATCTATCTATCTGTCTATCTGTCTATCTGTCTATCTGTCTATCTGTCTATCTGTCTATCTGTCTACCTATCTATCTATCTACCTATCTATCTATCTGTCTATCTATCTATCTATCTATCTCTGTCTCTCTCTCTCTCTCTATCTATCTTCCTTTCTATCTATCTCTGTCTCTCTCTATCTATCTATCTATCTTTCTTTCTTTCTTTCTTTCTTTCTATCTCTCTCTCTCTATCTCTATCTCTATCTATCTCTATCTCTATGTCTATCTCTATCTCTATCGCTATCGCTATCGCTATCGCTATCGCTATCGCTATCGCTATCTCTATCTCTATCTCTATCTCTATCTCTATCTCTATCTATCTATCTATCTATCTAGCTGTCTATCTATCCATCTATCTATCTAGCTAGCTAGCTATATATCTATCTATCTATCTAGCTAGCTAGCTAGCTAGCTAGCTATCTATCTCATCTGTCTATCTAACTATGTATCTATCTATCTGTCTATCTATCTATCTACCTACCTATTTACCTATCTACCTATCTACCTATCTACCTATCTACCTATCTACCTCTCTCTCTCTCTCTCTCTGTCTGTCTGTCTGTCTATCTACCTGTCTATCTGCAAGCTTGAAAACGAAGCTATTTTGCGAGACTTCCTCAGTATTTGAACTTGACAACGTCAAAAACGAAGCAAGTCTGCGGGACTTCCTCACTGTTTGAACTTGACAACGTCAAAAACGAAGCAATTCTGCGAGACTTGTTCATTCTTCAAAGTTGACAACATCAGAAACGAAGCAATTCTGCGAGACTTCCTCAATATTCCAACTTGACAACATCCAAAACGAAGCAGTTCTGCGTGACTTTCTCATTTTTCGAAGTTGACAACATCAAAAACGAAAGAATTCTGCGAGACTTCCTTCAAGAAGAAGAAGTTGAGTGCAGAGCTGACGGCCTCGTGCCAATGCGTTTTGCGATCTTTCCAGTGCATGTCTCTAAAGTATTGCGTCTGCCACGAAAAAGTGATGCCAGGTCATACGAAGTGCTGCACCTGTCACACACAATCATCTTCCCCAAACTGAAGATCTGATGCTCCAAAATGCAATCCCTCTCAGGAAATCACCGCCCGGACTTCCTAGCAGCTCTGATGAAGATGGCTCTTGTACTGCGCCTGCCACGGAAAATGCATCTTTGCAGATCCTCTTCAAATGTCCCACGCCTGCCATCGTTTTTGGAAATGCTACAAAACCCTCACGATTTGCTCACTTTTGACAAGGTGCACAATCCCTTGCGCCTGCCACGCGAAAGCACATCTGAACCTCCAAAAGTGGCACGAACTTGTGGTGTTTTGTACAGTTTGACTTCGAAATGTGCTTCGCGCCAGAACGGCGTGCCGTTTTTCGACATCTCAACTTCCAAAAGTGGTCCGAGAATGGTGTGCTTTGTACATTTTGACTTCGAAATGTGCTTCGCGCCACAACGGCGTGCACTTTTTCGACATCTCAACCTCCAAAAGTGGCGCGTACATGTGGTGTTTTGTACATTTTGACTTCGAAATGTGCTTCGCGCCACAACAGCGTGCACTTTTTCGACATCGCAACTTCCAAAAGTGGTCCGAACATGTGGTGTTTTTTACATTTTGACTTCGAAATGTGCTTCGCGCCACAACCGCGTGCACTTTTTCGACATCTCAACCTCCAAAAGTGGCGCGTACATGTGGTGCTTTGTACATTTTGACTTGGAAATATGCTTCGCGCCACAACGGGGTGCAATTTTCATCTCTTATCTGGCCAGATGGCTCCGCACCCGCCGCTTTAGCGAGCCTACTTTTCGACCCTCCGGAGCCACAAATCATTGGAAAACACAGTGTTTCGCGACTTTCCTACCTTTCCGCGCACCTGCATCTTCTTTCTTCTGACTCTTTCTCTTCTCTGACCTTCTCTCTTCTACTCTTCTCTTCTCTCTGACTCTTCCCATCTCTGCTTTTCATGTGTCCATATTGTCGGAAGTTTGACTTCTAAACTTCCTTCGATCATACGTATATAGATAGATAGATAGATAGATAGATAGACAGACAGACAGACAGATAGATAGATAGATAGATAGAGAGAGAGATAGATAGATAGATAGATAGATAGATAGATAGATCGATAGATAGATAGATAGATAGATAGATAGATATATAGATAGATAGATAGATAGATGCATAAAATACATGATATATATATATATACACACACGTATCTACATGAATATGATATATGATATATGGTAGACGTGTGAAAGTAATCATTGGCCGGGTCGACTGAATCTAGCGGCCAGGCGGAGCACGAAGAACATACGCAGGCGGAGCGTCCGAATGGGGGGATGAGCGCTACCAGGGTATAGGGCACCCTTGAGTTTTGGCCGCAATTGGGTCTGGAGTTTTAGGCTGCAAAATTGTTTCGATTGTTTCATGGTTTATCAATGTTTATCAGGTCATTCACACTAAAAATTATCCTTTTGTTTTGGTACCCCTATTTTGAGAGCCAGCCATCATGTACCCAGCGCATTCGAGGCCTACAAAGACCTGGAGCTTGGTCTTGCTGGTGTCCAAACTGCCATCAAGGCAGCGGAACTGTCGTTTTTTGGCAAACAACGCATCCTGTGGTTTTGGTATTGGATGTGACATACCGTATATATATATATAAACATATTTTATACACATGTAAACTATGATAAATAAATAAATATATATATATATATGCATATAAATATATACATGTATACAAATGTACGCATGATGTATCTACCTATAAATCTATCAGTCTATCTAACCTAATTTGATCTGATCTGATCTGATCTAATCAGACCGGATCTTATCTATCTGTTCCTAATACAATTCAATTGAATCTAAGCCTATCCTATCCTATGTCACCTATCTATCTATCTATCTATCTATCTATCTATCTATATGCATGATACACACACACATATATATATATATAATACACATGCGTACATTCCATTCCGTTCCATTACACACTACATCCATCCATACATACATGCAAACATTGATTGCGACTTGGGATGAAGACACTGCGAAGTTCCGCCAGGCCCTCCGTGACTACTACTCCCAAGATCGCCCTGTTCAACTGGACATGGCAGTCTGGGTCCAGAGGATTGGGTATCCCTCTACTGTATATATGATATGTATTGATATATATATATATACACATGTGTGTATATATATATAAATACACGCACACACACACATATATATATGTATATATCTAAACATTTGCACTTCCTGGTGCAATGCCGATCTGCTTGCTCCTCCCTGGGTCCATGTGGTCACCCTCGAAGAACCAGCTAACTAGCACATCCTCTTTGGTGTCCAAGAATGGCGTTTGCTCGAAAATGGCAATTTATAAATGCGGAAAATCGTTAAATTATATTCATTACAGTTTTAGTCCGTTTTACTTCTATTTTTTTCTCAGTTGGACTTGACGTTTCTTTGGAACGCTATGTTGTGCAGCTGCAGCTCCAAGAACTGCTGGTCAAATTGAAATCGTAAACCATCTGGTTTCGGAGTGCGCCATCTTGGTTCCACTTCCAGATGTTTACTCTTTAAAAGTTCAAGTCATCATACTTCCATTTCTACTTCAGAGTTACCCAACAAACATTTGCATAAAAACAGAAGTGCTAAATCCCCAGCATTTTGTCACTTCAACCAGCAGGGCCATCTGAGGCATCCATGGCCTTGGCGGCCGATGGCCGTGCCCCTCGTGTCGACATCGCCGAGGTGTCCACCGCTGGAGCGGGAGAGCTCAGGCTCAGTGGTAGACCTGAGATTTGTGTGCTGTTATTTTTTGAAACGCCAAACATTTTAGGATTTTTATGGGTGGATTTTCACGGGTCATTTTTGGCCAAACCTTGTTCTTTCCTTCGTATTTTTTCTGTTTTTGGCAAGGCATTTGTTTTTGTTTTGCCCGTATGTTTTTTTGGTTGGATGGATTTTTGACCTATATTTTGGCAGGAGATCAACAAGCCAAGCTTTATGGGGCAAAAAGAGGGGATATCATTGGGAGATATAGTGCGGGTATAGTGGAATATACAACCAAGATTAATCAGCAATATAATACGGTTCGTGCAAAACACATGGTGGGATACCCGAAAAAATATGACAATTATTGTGGAGAATATGATGGTCATTCCCGATTTAGTAATACCCGATAGAAACATCTTCAGACAGTCCCTATAAAAGGATTTAAGCATTGAATACGGAGGTTCGAACCATCGAACATAGGGGTTTAACCATTCTTGCTTGCTCACAGTATTTAGACATCGGAGACAGGCACACACACAGAGATTCAACGGATTGCTGGTTGATCAGATCCATTTAGGCCGGAGTCATTAGCTTCCTGGAGGCGGGGTGGATTGGGATTTGAAATTGATGAGAATAAACTTTTTCAAACAAGTCGCCATAAATTTTAAATTGGGGTTTCCCCGCATTTGCGCAATATGGAATAAACACAGGAAATCAAGCAGATGCCAGGCACTTTTCAAGAGATCAAGAAATTCCCTGCAGGTCGTGGAATCCGACTTTGCAAGAAACATGGCAGATTTGCAGTCCCAGGAGCCGATGTCACTGGGATTTTCCCATCGGATTCAAATGGACCTGACAGGATGCGCTTTGTTGCCACTTGGGCTTGAAAAAGGACTCTGAATTGCCGACGCAGGACAGAAATGCTCAGGAGGCCTACGAAAAGCTGATGCAGCAAAGCAAGGTGCTGCTGCCCTGTGATATGTTGGTCATGAAGCAGTTGTACTGTAGCTCCAACGACCAATCTCTCCACGAAAACAGCAGCTGATCCTTGAGGTGGTGAAAGCTCAGAAAGAGGCAGATGTAAAGCACAAGACAACCGAGGCGGGAGAATGGACAAGTCGGAGCATCTGCCGCTGTTAGCGTTGGGTGAACAGACACACACACATCATCACACATCTCATACCTAGTACCGCACAAGGCGGTGGCGGAAGTTTCAGAGGTAGGAAACTATAGGAGAGGTGAGTTGTTGTGATGCATGGACGGCAGAGCGAATCCATTGATGGACCGAAAGGTGTTGGGAGTTGCATTTTTTGGAGTGGCTGCAATGGTTGCAGTGGTCACCTCACCCACAACTGCTGGATGTAGTGTGGTGTAGTGCAGCTGTAGTTGTAGTTGTAGTTGTAGTGTAGTGGAGTTGTAGTTGTAGTGTAGTGTAATTAGTGTGGTGTAGTTGTAGTTGCAGTTGTAGTTGTGGTGTGGTGTAATGAGTGTAGTGCAGTGTAATGTAGTGTAGTGTGGCGTAGTGTGCTGTAGTGTTGTGTTCTGTAGTGTAGCCTAGTGTAGTGTAATCTAGTGTAGTGTAGTCTAGTGTAGTGCAGTTGTAGTTGTAGCTGTAGCTGTAGCTGTAGCTGTAGTTACCGTAGTGTAGCGTAGTGTAGCGTAGTGTAGCATAGTGTAGTTCAGTGGAACTAGCGTAGTGTATTGTAATGTAGTGGTAGTGGTAGTTGTAGTTGTATTTGCATATAGTTGTATATAGTTGTAGTGTAGTGCAATTAGTGTAGCGTAGTGTTGTGTAATTTAGTGTGGTTGTAGTTGCAGTTGCAGTTGCAGTTGTGGTTGTGGTTGTAGTTGTAGTGTAGTGTAATTAGTGTAGTGTAGTGTAATATCGTGTAGTTGTAGTTGTAGCTGTAGTAGTAATAGTAGTTGTAGTTGTAGTTATATATAGTTGTAGTGAAATTAGCGTAGTGTACTGTAATTAGTGTAGTGAAGTGTAATTAGCGTAGTGTAATTGGTGTAGTGTAGTGTAATTAGGGTACTGTAGTGTGGCATATTTGCACGTGTATTTGTAGTGGTAGTGTAGTTGTAGTTGTTGTCGTAGTTGTAGTTGCAGTTGTAGTTGTCTATCAATCCATCCATCCATCCATCAATCTGTCTATCTGCAAGTTTGAAAACGAAGCAATTCTGCGAGATTTCCTAAATTTTGAACTTGACATCATCAGAAGTGACGCAATTCTGCGAGACTTCCTCAATTTTGAAGTTGGCAGCATCAAAAACGAAGCAAAACTGCGAGACTTCCTTCAATCATGGAAAGTTGAGTGCAGAGCTGACGGCCTCGTGCCAATGCGTTTTGCGATCTTTCCAGTGCATGTCTCTAAAGTATTGCGTCTGCCACGAAAAAGTGATGCCAGGTCATACGAAGTGCTGCACCTGTCACACAAAATCATCTTCCCCAAACTGAAGATCTGATGCTCCAAAATGCAACCCCTCTCAGGAAATGAGCGCCCCGACCTCCTAACATCTCTGATGAACATGTCTCTTGTAGCGCCCCGAACATCTGGTGTTTTTAACATTTTGACTTGGAAATGTGCTTTGCGCCACAAGTGCGTACACTTTTCGACATCTCAACTTCCAAAAGTGCTCCGAACCTGGTGTGCTTTGCACATTTTGACTTGGAAATGTGCTTCGCGCCACAACTTTTTCATCATCTCAACTTCCAAAAGTGGTCCGAGAATGGTCTGTTTTGTACATTTTGACTTGGATATGTGCTTCGGGCCACAACGGCGTGCACTTTTTCGACATCACAACTTCCAAAAGTGCTCCGAACGTCCAAAGGTGCTCTGAGCATGGTGTGTTTTGTACATTTTGACTTTGAAATGCGCTTCGCGTGCAACTTTTCCTCTCTCATCTGGCCAGATGGCTCCGCACCCGCCGCTTTAGCGAGCCTACTTTCGACCCTCCGGAGCCACAAATCATTGGAAAAACACAGCGAATCGCGGCTTTTCTACCTTTTCGCGCACCTGCATCTTCTTTCTTCTCAGTCTTTCTCTTCTCTGGTCTTGTCTCTTCTTCTCTTCTCCTCTCTGACTCTTCCTACCTCTGCTTTTCCATCTGTCCATATTGTTGGAAGTTTGACTTCTAAACTAAACTTCCTTCGGTTAGGATTAGGGCCCCTAATATTTTGGTACCCCCAAATCATTTTTTAAAATAGGATTCTCCACTATAAACCACCCATTTTGGGGTGCAACCATTTTAGGAAACCCCTTTATTTTGACTGATTTTTTCGCACATTTCCCAGGCGACCAATCTGGAGCGAAGCGCAACTGAGCTTCGGTGGGCCTCAAAGCATTGGCTGAAACTATGCAAGTGAAGTCATGGAGAAGGACATATGGATTATATATACCCTGTTGATCCTCCTTGGAAAAATCTCTATAAAATAGATCACCTGGGGGTACGATTCTATAGAGATGAGGCTGGTAGGCCAGTGTTTACTATAGAATGGTACCTGGATTGCGCCCATGCAGTTTACATACCCAAAAGTGACACCAAACTTGAGGCATTGCAAACCCAGTTTTCTATTCTATAGGGGGTCTTTTTCCTGATCACTTGGACTCAGGTTTTCATTTTATAGTGGATTGTTTGTTAGATTTTGTTACAAGCAGTGGCCAGTATGATTAGCCTCATACTGGCCACCGCTTCTAACAAATAATCCACTATAGAATGAAAAACTGGGTCCCAGTGATTAGGAAACATGCCCCTTACAGAATAGAACCCGCTATTTCCAAGGCCGAAAATGTGGTTCACGTTTGGGCTAGCACCTTTCAAAAATCCTTGGGAACCATTTTTAGAAGAGTGGTTGGATCTCCAGTTTAAAGGAGCAGCCCTGCACAAAACTGATTCGTTAACAGTGTTGACCACTTATCCGTTTACAATATGTATCAATATTTTTACAGTATTATTGCCCACTGACACCCCCCTTCCACTCCTATAAAATGAAAACCCAGCCTCATACCCACCGCTTCTAACAAATAATCCACTATAGAATGAAAACCTGAGTCCAAGTGATTAGGTGCCCCCTATAGAATAGAAACCGCTATTTCCAAGGCCCAACATGTGGTTCACGTTTGGGCTGGCACCTTTCAAGCAAAAAAATCCTTGGGAACCATTTTTAGAAGAGTGGTTGGATCTCCAGTTTAAAGGAGCAGCCCTGCACAAAACTGATTTGTTAACAGTGTTGACCACTTATCCGTTTACAATATGTATCAATATTTTTACAGTATTATTGCCCACTGACACCCCCCTTCCACTCCTATAAAATGAAAACCCAGCCTCATACCCACCGCTTCTAACAAATAATCCACTATAGAATGAAAACCTGAGTCCAAGTGATTAGGTGCCCCCTATAGAATAGAAACCGCTATTTCCAAGGCCCAACATGTGGTTCACGTTTGGGCTGGCACCTTTCAAGCAAAAAAATCCTTGGGAACCATTTTTAGAAGAGTGGTGGGATCTCCATTTTAAAGGAGCAGCCCTGCACAAAACTGATTCGTTAACAGTGTTGATTACTTATTCGTTTGCAGTATGTGTCAATATTTTACAGTATCATACAGTATTTACAATATTATTGCTCACTGACACCTCCCCTGCCACTCCTATAAAATGAAAACCCAGCCTCATACCCACCGCTTCTAACAAATAATCCACTATAGAATGAAAACCTGAGTCCAAGTGATTATAAAATGGAAATCCAACCCCCCTCTATAAAATAGTCACCAAGTAGATTCTTTTGTGGAATGGTGCCAGCCCAGATCCAAAAAGTGAAACCAAACTTAAGGCATTGCAAACCCAGTTTTCTATTCTATAGGGGGTCTTTTTCCTAATCACTTGGACTCAGGTTTTCATTTTATAGTGGATTATCTGTTAGAAGCAGTGGCCAGTATGATGCTGGGTTTTCATTTTATAGGAGTGGCAGGGGGCTGTTGGTTTTCTTGGGTTTCTATTCTATAGGGAAAATCCCCCCCTTAGTCCTGGGTTTGCGTTTTAGTCCCTATAGAATGGAACCCCCAGGTTTGGTCCGAATTCCAACAGGGATCCCTGTTGTATAGACATGTATGGATTATATAGTATCACTATCAGTTTTATATTATATCCCTGATAGTAAGTCAGTAATCCTTTCTGGTGCGGCAGCGTTTGGATCATCGTTTTCAAAACAACAAACTTTTTGTGGAACAGCAACGTGTTCGCACTGAGGTCTGACACAGCCTCTGCCAAGCAGCAGCTGGAAGCCGTTACAGAGTGAGCCAATTCTATTGCTGACAGCCACCTGCAGTTCTCTAAGATGATAATTATATATTTATATACATATATATTTATATATACATATGTATATATTTATACTATACACACGATATACCGATATACTGTACCACGTGTGCTGTATACAACATGGTTCGGCTTTGCTAGGAAACTCGTTTCCCAGTCTTGCAATGATTCAGCGGATGATTCGTCATGAATCGTCACTGATAATTTTCCTCTTGGTTTCACCCATTCTTTATTTCTCCAAATGGGATGAAATTGAATTGACCAACATATTTCCATATATGTTCAATGGGATGGAAAACATGATTCAATGATTGTCCTTTCGATTTTCGGGGCCCGGCACTTCTTGTTGCACCAGGTATCTGGGCAAACTCCAGGAAGAGTGTACTGCCAAGGAGTTCAAAGTGCAACCCTTTGTTCCAACTGTGTTGTGGACTACTGTATCCAAATATTTTTTGGATTCTCATCATCCGTTATATATATAATAATAATCAAAATTATAATTATAATTATATGTATATATATATATTATGTGGTTTCCTAAATAGAGGTACCCCCAGTCACCATAGGTTTCTAAGTCCTGCTCCGCAGCTTGGGCAGGTTGAAACTCGAGAGGAACGGATGGCCAAGCGGCAGAAAGAAATGGAAGGCATGGCGCACGTTTTTTTTTTGCATTTTTGGTGCTTGCTTTGTGCATCTTTGTTTGGTAGATTGGGATACCTATGTACTGTATACATATTATATTACTAGAATTGTATATATATATATATATATTATACACATGTCATATTCAAAAAAATATAGTAGTTTTCTACCTATCCATCTACAAGTGTACAGTGTACACCAAGTGTTTCCCTTTATGGACCAGTGTTTTTTTTTTCGCAAGTCCCGAGGCTTGCAGGAAGCTCTATCCATTCTTGAGTCTGCCGTCAGTGTGTGATGGCAGCAGTTGGTTGATGGTCGAACTCCCAGCAAATATATGGAGCTTTCCTGCGGTTTCTAAACTTTGCACCAAAGTTAACTGCAGCAACTGGAACATGGAACATGTTTGAAGCGAATACTGCGCAACTGCAGACACGTCAAGTAAGTAGAGTATGTTTAGCAGATTCATTGATGAGCAACACGACAGGGAAATCGATGCTGTTTTCTACCGAATCGTTGGCATCTGCCAGAAACAAAAACTGTATGTCAAGTCCCTGGGGAAAGCATGAAGACAGTGTCCAGATGCAGCGGGCATTTCAATTTGGCTTTTCATCGGATCTTGAGCAGATATTTTCTTTGAAGCATGAGGTGCCTTGTCCCAATCTCCTGTGTGGATCAAGCTTTGGTTGTTATTTTAGAACCTCTATTGAAAAGATCATTCTTTCTTCACAGTCACATCGGAACAAATCCAAACAACAAGCAGCACGAAGCACATGCACGGATGCCACGATAAGATGCCAAAGGTCTGAAACTGGCAAATGAAAGATATGAAAGCGGACCTGAGTGAAAGCCTGACCACCTTGAAGACTCCTCCTGTATTAGAAAATGATTCGGTTTGAGAACAACTTGATATGGGTTTGCCCACCAATGGGGGATCCTAAATCTGATATCAGTTCATCATCATTTCCCATTAAAGTTGCCATACCTTGGGGTACACCGCCTTTCGGGGCAAACTCATGCACCATCCAAATAACTAGCTCAGACCGGCAATTTTTCCTTGAATATCCGGTTTTGGAGTGCCACAGTTCACTTGCTTCTGGGGTTGTTCTAGACCTTTTGAAATCGGGTTTGCGATTTGGGTATGTCCACCAAATTTTCGTAACAAGAACACGATGGTATTTCTCATGGTTTTTATCACTGGTTTCTCACCATTTAGTTGTTTTATAATTAGGGGCCCCACATTTTCATTGTTTCTGATGGATTATTATGGGGATACAATTGTAGCAGACTTGGTTTACGAGATTTTCAATGGATTAATTCATAATTAGGGGATACACATCTCACATTTTCTGATGGACGCCAATTCATTGTTTCTTTTTTGCACCGGAACCCTTCGCGGACGCCCGATGCCGTGGCGAAGCCGTGAAGACGCTGGCCGTGGTAGGCTTAGTGATCCATTGGTCAATGGAAATGGGGCAATGGTTTGGGGTAGCTGTATTATCTGATTATTATCTGTATTTTAGGAAACCTCCAATGCCTAGAGTTGAGATTGGAGTTTCCAATTTCCACTAGCAACCGGACCTTCCATTTTTCAAGTGAACGGAGCCGGAGCTCACCCTTGACTACGATCTTCGCTCCCTTGCTATAGCGCTGCACGTTTTTTTTTGAGATCATAGGCGTTACTTGGGTTAACCTCGCCAAGATAGCGCCCCTTGTTATAAGGCCAAGCAATCAACGCCAGCATGAAGGTACAAGAGCACGTTTCGCAGCTGAGCCCCCTGGAACTTGGGAACTCTTATTTCTGTGCCAAGGTCGGAGCAACGAGAAAGGTCGGGAAAGTGGCTGTGCACGCGCTTATTGTTCACCCACACACACGCACACATAGAAGGTGTGTTCTCTAAGATGAGGTCAAACGATGTTTTGCTGGTCAGAGGACAAGGCCTGCGGTGTGTGAAATCTCTGCGCAAAGAAACTCTGTGCAGGTTGGGACAATTGGAAGACAGATTGGGGAGAGAATTGGAAAGTCCGCAGCTTAGCACAGCAAATTTGACAAACATACACACAAAGTACTCGCATGTTCATCACATGTAGTTACTTAGTAAACAGCCTTAGAAGTCAGCCCGTCAGCCCGTTGACTTGGGATGTTTGTAGAAGTTATAAAACTGAACATCCAAATGTCACAGTGGCTTTGTTGGTGTTGCCCACACAGCTGGAAGGCTTCAACTTGGGGCAAAGACACCAAGCAAGAGGCCAGGGATGGCCAGGGTTTTTTTCTTTCAATGGAACCATTTTTGAGGGAATTCTTGGAGGTCTTTTTTGCCTCATAGGACTTTACTGTAGAATTTCTGGAGAAAAACGATACTTGGAGCTCAACCATCAGCTCACACGACATCAGCTCACCCGGCATGACAGCTCTTTGTATCACGTACCCACACCCACAGTTCCTTCAGCTACGGAGCAGGGTGGGGTCAGGTAGGGTGTGCTAACTAAGTGCCTAAGATGAGTTGCCCTGCAAGATGACAGGGGCAGCTGCTGCGTGGAGTGCTGGGTCGTGCTGATTGGTCAACGTATTTGGATGTATTCGGTTGCAGGCAAATGGCAAGTCGGCAAATGGCATGGGTCCTTAGCGGACTCTTTACGGCAAAGAACAAATACGCCGCAGTTCCAACGTCTAGACTCTAGCAGTGTTCGGGAGAATTATCACTTGCTTTGCCTGCGGGGCGAACTGCTGGAGCGTGGAAAGATTTTCGTGACTGCTGCAGTACAAGGCAATCGGGGCCCCAATGGGAGTCCGAGCCCAAGTTCTTCATGCTGGAGAGTGTTCTTCCATTATGAACCGATATTTGGGGCTCAAACCTACAATGGATGGATTTGTTATGATCTTCGACTCCCCAGGTTCTGGAATATTTGACCAAAAACTATAGTAACCTCCAAACCGATCGAACAGTGTTTCCACGATGGTACTTCGATATGTATAGTATAACAATAGATTATATTTACCAGACATATTTACCAGACATATTTACCACATATTTCCCACTTTTTGATCTATTTTGGGGTTGCAACAAGCCCAGGTCATGCCCAAACTGCCGCAGAACGTTTTGCGGTGCTGGCACCATCGTCTGAGAAGTCCAGGCGCCTCTGGGTTCCATGAATCCCCGATCCAGATCTGGGGTACCATCATTTCAGGAAACCTCCAACTGGGGTATACCATGTTACCGGCTCAAAAAAATGGTGATGAACCACTGACGATTCCCGTAGATCCAAATCTTGACGGTCCGTTGAAACCATTGTGCCTCGAACTCCTACGGAAACTGCTGCAGGCGGAATGAATGGGTCGACAGTCGCAGTCAACAGTGGGAAGCGACCAGCAATTGTCGCACTCGACAGTGGCAAGCGACCAGCAATTCTGAAGGCCAGGTTGAGATTGCGTTATCTAGAGTTGTGTGTTGCACTAACGAGTTTCGGCTGGAACATGCTAACATAGTAAAACATCAAACGAAGCAACCTTGGCAGAAAAGAAAAAGCAAAAAGGCAAGATGGAAACAATATGGTTTCATAAAAAGAAAAACAAGGCGGAAACAAGCAAAACAAAATGAGTAAAAATGCGACCTCAATCAAATTGATCCTTTCTGTTTCGTTCTGTTTTCGTTTTTTTCGGCTCTTCTTTCGGTCTTTGTTCGCTTATTTCCGTTTTTTTTCTCCATGGTTTTTGTTTTCGCCTCTTTCGCTTTTTTAGAGTTTTTTTTCCACGAGTTTCTTCAATTAATCTTCACATTCCTTGGAACATGGAAAAAATGCAAAAAACAATGAAGCAAGCACGAGCACACAAAAAGCAAAGAAAGAAAATAAGGCGAAAAGAGCGCAATAAACGCAAACAAAAGAATGAGCAAAAAGCGACACAGAAAAGAACACTGTGTTTTTTGTGGTTGTTCCCGTCGCGCTTTATTCGTTTTTTGAACCCATCTTTTACATGTCCAGTCGAACGAATCTTAAATCTAGAGGCTATGAAATCATGCATATCTGGGCGGTCAGCCATGGGGATGATCGCAATTGACCAATGGACTAAATGGACATTGCCATGTGCCACGCCATGCCACGCCAGGGAAATCCGATCCATCTGTGAAAACTCCGGCTCCGTTGCCTGTAACCCCTCCATTGTGGGGAGCTGAGCTGGGCAGATTTCATAGCACTTCTGGGAGAGATCTTGGATATTTAGCCATATCACTTCGGCATACTTCGACTATCAGGACATATTTAAAGTATTTTTTTCGTGTGGAAACTCTGCGGCTTTGGCTCAGAGGCAGGATCAGCTTGAAGGATTTCCGTAAGTGAAAGCCATGGGGCTGACCCTTGAAGGAAATCCTCAGGAGAGCCATGCCCAACGGGCCCAACGGGCCCAACGGGCCCAACGGTAGCTCATTTTAGGATCATACTGCTAGCTTCGCAGCCATGAGTTTGTCTATTTTGCTAGATGCACTAGTTGAGCGAGCTGGGTGAATTTAGGTCAGATAGTCATCGATCTTTTGCAGCGCCGCCAGGATGTGATTAACCGCATCGCAGCACCTTGATTTGCACATCTGTCGCTTGAGAAGATCACCCAAACCCCAGTTGAATCGAGGTAATATTGGCCGTGAGCCTGATCGTCGTGGTTGTTGCCGCGCTTTGCCATGACAGACGACAAAATATCACAGAAACCCGGCAAACGGCGGCAGACCAGACGTGCTTTACAAAGAGATGAGATAGAACATTAAGAACGATGAAGGCGGCTGTGTGTTTTTCAAATGCAGTATACCGGTATATCCCCCCATTTATGGCCATTTTATATAATTGGTAAGATGATGATTCACCAGCCATTTAACTAGGCAAGATGATGATGAACCATCATTTTTTTGAGATTTTCCTATATATATAAACATTCAGACAAAGCCGTGCCTGGTGTTGGTACTTGGACAGCCCGTGCCGAGAGCTGACGGAAGTGACGTGTGAGTTATGAAGTTATGACCGTCATGGGCCAAGGAAATCAAGCGCAGCTTCTCGGCGAATAGGACTGGGATGACCGACGAGACTTGGGAGCCAGATTGGAAGCACTCAGCAGTAAGGTAGCTTAGTTAACTTTAAATTATTTTTAAGATACTTCATATGGAGGTTTCCTACCACCTATATATAGATGGATTTCCATTATAAGCCCTCCATTTGGGGGTACCCTCAATTTAGGAAGCCCCCGTAGATATAATATTATATAGTTAAGCTGGAATGAAGCTGGACAGATCATCATTTCAATGGGGACTGGTACAGTAAATCATCTGAGTTTGTGTTTTCTTGCTAGGCCGGTTGGTTTTACCAGGTCTATGGCTAACTGTTCACCAGATATCCGCCAAGATCAGAGACTTTTCACAGCCCTTTGCCTTGGATGAACCATGAAAGCAGAGAGAATTCTCTGAGTGAACTGGGTGAACTTCATGTATTCTGTATGCGGTAAACCTAATTTCATAAACCTCTATTGGGGATGGTTTAAAACATTGGCGCTAAACCACGTTGCATGTATACCTCTGTAATCCTCTGTATACTTGTAGAGATCTCGACCCTGGAAGTCACTGGAAGTCGGCTCGTGAGCCTTGAGGCCGTCCAGCTACATGGGTCCTGGCGCTGTTGATTTGCAGCTACCTCTTGCTGATTCCTGCACTCTTTGCGACTTGGATCGAAAAGTTGGATCAAGTTGGATCAAGTTGGATCCTGTGAGATCAGCTGGGCTTTTTTTTGAGCTCGGCTGAGGCCACTCTCTTCAACATGACGATTGGCGCCGTTGATGCCCTCGTTGGATGCTGAGTGTAGCTGGCAGCAAAGATGGGTGAAATCAGAGGAGCACTCAGATGAAACGAGGTTCTCGAGGATGCTTCGGACAGTACCATTGAGTTTATCCATCTTCTTGGAGATACTGGCTCCTGGCTTGGAGCCGCCACTTGGCAGGAGACCTTTGCGGTCATATGGGGGGCTGACAGCAATCCCAGATCCGAATCTGGAGCTGCAGACAGGCTCCTATAGAAATCCTAGGAGGCTTATGGATGAAATGCGTTATGACTTTGTGTTCAAACTTTGACGTTGGTCATTCCAACCTTGTATGACCTTGTCAAAGTTCTTATGGCTTCCGCGGTCCGACCTTCAGGACACATTTAGGACACATGCGCAGAACAGATACTATCCTGTGCAACGTTCAGTCTACCATGCTTTCGTTTTGCCATTCGTATGCTCCAAAACCATCCAAAACCAATTTCCAGGCTATGGCTCCAGTCTTCAGATTCACACGTATACACTGCCGGTCTTTTCATGCACACCCCCAGACTTTCATGTGCGTACATTGCCTCTAAGTAGACAATTGTGATTGCACAGCTCAGCACAAGGGGACCGTGATGAGGTGCTGGTTGCGATTTTCGCACTTGTTGTTCCCTTGGTGAAGATCATCTTGCTGGTTCTTGGGGAATTCTGGCGTTGCAGTAAAGTGCCTTGGCCTTTGTTGCCACGGAGCAATTTCATCCAAGGAATGAAAACATGGGAGCTCAGGGCTCAGAGGACTTTTTCTTGATATAGGTTTAGAGTCTAGAGACTTTTTTTCCCTTGCGAGGCATGTTTCACATGGTTTCTCGCATATAACACATTGTGCCAATATTTTGCTGCATTCTGATGTATTGAAACATATTCTGATACATTCTGGGACATTCTGATACGATAATATATCAGCAGATATTCACAAATCATTGAGGAACCATTGGCATTGACAAACCATATGGGGATGGGTCAATACCTATTAATACCATTTTTAGTGGAATGAACATCCATTTACCAGCTATTTTGATGTTCACCAGGGGTACAAGGTTTTGACACACTGCCATATGGACACTAGTTGAGCATTCCTGCATTCCTGGGCCTTGTTAAGGACCCCCGGAGGATTCAGGTGGCTCGAATGTGCATCCGCTTTGCCACTCAGCTGCCTTTTTCTGGATGGAAAAGCAGCGTGCTGAGCGTGCGGGTTTTGTGAATCCGAATGATATTAGTCTGTCCAAAAATGGTGGAGAGCACCAAAATGGCACTTGTAGTAGGAACATGATGATGAAACATGATAAAACACTGAACCCAAATGATGTAGCTGGAACTCTGTCAAGTTATATCATCTACCCTTCAGGAAGAAACATGGACCCAAGCCCAACAGTTTCTCTCTCTCTCTCTCAACTGATACTTGCATTGTATGTCGATTAAAGTTTTGGATCGATTTGCGCCGCTTCCGAAAGAGAGCAGAAGTCATAAATTCTGGCAGCGTCAAAGCCATTTGAGAAGTTAGTACGTATGTTTTTTCAGGAACATGGACAGTTGAAGTAAAAAACAACGATACCATCATCTGTGTTTGCACCCGTGATTTGTCTTTTTGTTAGCTTATTCCCTTGTTTGTTGATGTTTGTTGCTGTTACATTTTGTCCAGGTCCAGATCATCTCCAAGTGGGCCTGCCCAGCTGCTCGGTGGCTGTGGATGTGTTTCAACATCTGATTCTCAGAGATAGCCAGATTCCACAGTAGGACTTAAAGGCGCCTTTGTTTGCAGGTTGGGTTGAAGTTTCTGGTGCCATTCTGAGGATATCATCGCCTACATTTTCCTTTTTTATCTAGTTCGTCATTTGAACCGGCCGCCGATCAACGGGCTCTTTTCCTTGGACGCTTGGGTGAGAGATTGGTGTTGCAGCTGGTTTTGAACTGCCAAACACCAGCAACACCAATTTTCTTTGGGTTTGTAGGGTAGCAACATGCTTCATCATCATTTTTCTGTTCTGCATTGTAAACAAAAACTAGACATTGGGAGCCATTACCATTTCTGGGCAAAGCTATTCCCTGTTTCTTTTTCCAAGTCTCAATATTGAACTGGCGAGAACAGCATTTCTCACACAACATAGCTACATCATTCTGAGGTGGGCTGCAGCCTTGTTGCAAAGGTTGACTCAAACATACAATATGTATAATATATATATATTTATATGTATTATTTCACATATTACATAATGCATTATATTATGTATTTTATTGCGTATTATATTTTACGCATTATATATTATACATCAGATATGATATATAATACATGATATGATATATAATACATGATATGATATATAATACATGATATGATATATATATATAATATAATATAATATACTATACTATAATATAATATAATATAATATAATATAATATTACACACAGACCCCGAGGCTTGCCCAAGCCCAGAATAGTGCAAATACCAGGAAATTCTGTACGACGTCAAACAATGGAAGGGATTTTATGTTCAATTATGTTGCTAGGGTGTTAACCAGAACATGTTGCTCCTACACATGTCATATAAATAACCAGAACATGTTGCTTCTACATATCATATGGAATTAACCATACACTTATTAGGGTTTCTTATAGGGTTTCAAGAATATATAACAATCTCTCGGCCCCATGTAACAATTAACCATACAGTCATTAGGGTTTCTTATAGGGTTTCAAGAATAGATCAAAATCCCCCAGCCCCATGGAACAATTAGCCATACAGAGATTAGGGTTTCTTTCAGGATTTCAACAAGATATCAAAATCCCCTGCCCCCATGGAGCAATTAGCCATACAGAGATTAGGGTTTCTTTCAGGATTTCAACAAGATATCAAAATCCCCTGCCCCCATGGGACAATTAGCCCTACAGTCATTAGGGTTTCATTTAGCGTTTCAAGAAGATATCAAAGTCCCCCGGCCCCATGGAACAATTGACCATCCAGTCATTAGGGTTTCTTATAGGGTTTCAAGAAGACATCAAAATCCCCTGGCCCCAGGGAACAATTAACCATGCAGTCATGAGGGTTTCTCATAGGATTTCAAGAAGATAGCAAATTCAACATCGTCGTCGTCGTTGGCGTCGTCATCATCATCATCATCATCGTCATCATCATCATCATCATCGTCATCATCATCATCATCATCATCTCATCCTCCTCCTCCTCCTCCTCCTTTTTTTACACGATATATCATATAGTATATATTTTTAAATAACATTATATATACAACTTATATATATATATATTGTACATGGTGTATGCAATTTAATATTTCACACACACACACATATATATACATATTTAAATGATGCAATACATAATATGTATATATACATGTACGCATGTATACATGTGTATATGTGTTTATGTGTTTATGTGTATATGCGTAAATATGTATATGCGTAAATGTGTAGATTTGTGGATGTATAGTATATATATATACACATATATGTAATTATGATTGTATAGGTGTATAGATGTATTACTGTATATATTTGCATATATGATTACATACATACATACATACATACATACATACATACATACATACATACACTTGCGAAGTCATGAAAGACGGTCTCTTTTCATGAATGCAAAGTCTGATTACCTCATGGTAGATTGAAGGCATCACTCGGCCATACCGAGTTAAAAAGGCCAAGCTTATCCGTTGACATTTGAATGTCAGGTTGTTTAAAAGAGAAACCAATACGACTCAATCAAACGTGATCATGAAATGACTGAATGACGGCATGCAGGTTCTTTAGCCTGATCCCATAAAGTACTAACAGATACGAATATGACCACCAGCTATGACCCCAACATATTGGGTATGTCATCCAGGTGCATCATGCAGGTACGTTTTCACAACCTAAGGTGAGTGTCTTCATTGGCACAAGACTCACCAAAGGTCCTTGTGCCCCCTGCTATGAATTAAAATGCAACGGTATCCAAAATTTATGGTGGAAAGCAGTTGAAAACTAGTTGGTTGGAATCAGTCGCAAGAAAGTGAGGAACTCTTTGGTACAGAGCTTGACACACACAAAAAGGCACGAAGCCGGGTTGGTATTTCTTTAAAGGCGAGAATGGAAGACATCATCAATAGATTGGTGAGAAACCGCAGAGGAAAATTTTGCAACCTCATCAGCGTGTTAGTAAATATTTTGCCGCAGCCAAAAGGTTAGGTATGCTTGAACTGCCTTCTGTACAGGACGCGTTGGCAGTCTGTTTTGGAGAACCCTTTCTGTACGTACAGCTGAATGAGTTGGTTGAGATCATCACGGACAAATTGTTTGGGAAACGTGTATCTGCGAATTCAGGTTGCACGGGACTTTAGTCCGGACAAGCGGAGACGCATGCTGCCAGCAGAATGGAGATCACGAATTTTCCATAGTGGAGGTACTTGGTACCTTACGGTTCGTTGCACGACATCGATGGTGAACCCAAGGAGTGTACCATCTTCGACGGTTTCCAACTCCACCGGCGCTTGATAAAAGAAACAATCGGAAAGCACTCGCATGGGCAATGCGGAGCGAAATCGATGGTCAAACAAAATGAATCTGTTGTCCACATATCGTGTGAACAGAAGCTGGAGTTGGCTGGATTGAACAAAAGTTAAATACGCATTTCTCCAGCTGCGCTCTATGAGCGTCACAGCCAAATTACTGAGAGAGGGAGAGATGTGTGATCCAATCCCTGCTCCACGATGCTGTACCCAAATTTGGTTGACAGCTTTAAACACGTGGGTACTTAAAGAAGCCTGGACAATTGTCAAAATATCTTGAACTCGAACGGTCTTGATATTCGATGATGTCTTCTTGCACTGTCCCACAAATGAAGTGTGGACAACTGGCCCTTTCAGAGCCATGTTGACCGAAACTTGTGTTTCACCATGTTGATTGACCCATTCCGTGGTCAATTGTTGAATCGCATCAAGTAAACGTGATTGAGGGACGCTGTTGAAAAATCCAACAAGATCATCGTTGATGGCAGCAAATTGAATATCGTCATCTGTACGAAAAAACCGTTGATGGATATGTTTCCAAATTTCAGGAACTGAAAGTTGACCGGCTTCTTGCGGCCAAAGCATCACACACATCGTATCAAGAGTTCTGGCGGTGGCCTGCATGAGTTTACCATAGCGTGAACCAAAATACGAAATCAATGTACGTCCTTTGTTGAACATCTTCTTTCGTTTCAGATGTACAAAGCCGTGAGGCAGTGTCGAGGATGTGTTAATCCCCCATCTGTATCGGTTCTGCAAGGACGGTGTCAAAGCAGTAGCAATGAGCTTTTGAGCATCTTCTTCATTTCGAGGAAAACGGGAAAACAATTCAGGATCATCCCATGTTCTGCAAGCAGACTCAAAGTAGAAGGAAGGACAAAACAGGGTGATGCGATGAATTTCATGATCAGCATGATGAATCACCACATTGGGTGGTAACCATTGAAGGAGGTGCTTGATGTTGTGGAAGGAAAATCTGGGATTAGTCTGCAACTCCTTGGTGTGAGCGGTCCATTGTCGAAGAAGTTCGGCTTGAAGATCACGATGAGAAAACGGAGGGCAACCATGATATTTAGTCCAGTACTGCAATTGTTCATGCCACATGTTCTGAAATTGTGCGAAGCTGGGAAAAAACGTAGAGGAGGCGTTGGCAGTCTCAAAGATGCGCAACTTGGAGGGCAAGTTCAACTCATGGATACCAACTGCAACATGTTGATGGACACCAAAACAATGAATTGAAGGATCAAAATGTTTGATTTCAGAGTGTGCCAAAAATGGCATAGTCGCTGGACGATTCAGTTTTGGTATCGTCATATTTCTGAACTTCATGGCTGATGCAAGAAGTTTCCTGGCTCGACCGCGCGCTGGCTGTTCTAAATGATTGCAAAGTCGGTACAACACATATATTTCCCAATCATCAAATTTCCCAGACCTGAGGGTTGTCGCTGTGTCAAAGGAGAGGCGGCCAGGACTTGTGAGCTCAAAAAGAATGTTCCAAGCTTGAGCTTGTTTGCAGTGAATGGAGGGAGGAACACCTTTGGTGATGAGTCTTCTGCGTAGTCTTTGAAACAATCTGTTTCCCTGTGGAATAGATGGAAAAGTCTGAGAATGTTTCTTGTACTGAACCAACCATCCTGATGCTTTCAGCGTCAAGATTTTGGTGATAAATGGATGGTTCAACGGTGGTTGCCATCTTGAAATCAGTAAATGTTCAAAAATCCAGGCTTCTTGATATGTAGAAAAAGAGGCAATTGGAATTGCAGTAAAATTGGAAAAATCCGAACGTCGAGACCAGTACTTAACAGCAAGTTCAACGTGAACAGGAGTACCATCTTTGGCCAGTCTGTACTTGGCCATTCTATTGAATTCCCGCTTGGCCATTCCAATGGATGTGGAGCCGATATAAAATCTGCCAGCTTGTTTGTACGAAAGTGAAGTGGAGTTGGGAAGGTTAAACTGCATTTTAAGATAGGTGACAGCTGTACATTGAAAGAATACAAAAGTGTAACTCTCTGGATTAATACCAAGGTTCTGCAGTCTTCGCTGCCAAACCGCGGTATGATACGTGCGTGATCCAAAATGGAAAAGACAAATGAGATGAAGCAAACCAAGGGCCCAAATTGCACAAGACTTGTTGACAGCAGGGACAGAGTGCACGATCTCAATAAATACGGATCTCAAAACTGTGATGTAATCCAGAACGGCTTTCGGCCGATGTTTGGAAACATCCATAGCTAGTCAAGCTGTAAGAGCTGCTCCAACAGCAACTGCCTGTTGGAGACTTGTGATGCTGAGCTTGAGGACAGCACTTAAATTAAGGCCATATTGAGTGCTGGCCTGTTGCAACT